ATGGGCAAAAACGATCAGAAACGGATATCGAAAAACATAAAATTACCTTTAGCGAGAACAATATCGAATTTAATTTTATCTGAATCCGCGAATGTATGCACCAGACTATGAGTCCATCGTCGTACCTTGACAGCACTTTCCAGGTAACAGTACATTTTAACATTCTATAAAGACAACATGGTCGTTATTTGACAAAAGAATTAAGACTTGAATCAAACCCTAGGACGATAGCCATTGCAGGCAGTGTATTTCACGACCCCTTGCACTTTCTTGGTCAGAAGGAAATCTGAAATCTTAAAGAACTTGAGCACTATATAGAGGACTAACATTTACAAAACTTTATATGTAACTCAATTTGCAAACTTCAAGTTCAAAAATGATATTGAGAAAAATGCAAAAATAGGGTTGATTCTGTTAAGGAATACCAACTTACTCAGGGGTTCAGTGGTTACTTCCAACGTCAGTGCAAACGGACCAGCAACCTTGCAGTTGTGACATTCTGCTGGATACTCCAACACAGGTGTCTTAATTTACAACATTATATCAAAAACATAAGACTCACGATAAGCGTCAATAAAATTTTATGGGAAGGGTTAGCGCGTTATAAATGAAAAACTGAGAAAACAAATCCACTATTTTTCTCAGGAAGTAGAAATTTAGCCTAGAAAAAGCATGAATAGAAAAATCTGAATAGTGTAAAAGCAAATAAATACCCCAATTGGTGCGGCGAACTCGAGAAGAGCTTTTGCAGGTACGAATGGCACTTCTAGGTGAATCCGGCCCGTCTTTGGATTGCATACATTCAAAGTTTGAGAATGAGACGATGGGGAAGTAGTCGTCAAAACCGGCGGTTGCTTAGTTGTTTGCACAGGATAAACCGCCTGGAATACATTTCTGTAAAGATGCTAACCAGACCAAAGAAATTTGTACCTCTTTGATAGTCCTAGGACTATTTCTATCAGCGTAGAATCTCGTGCCCTTTTTTGCTGAGCCGACAGAGTCGTTAAGACTCGATATAGTAGCATCGCTACGAGTCCT